TTGCAAACTATAGTCCCAAACATGAGAGTTTATCATATTGATGGGGAGAAAGTTAGACACACATGCTTCATTGATGATCATAAGATTCACAGTTTATCAATATGTCTCCAACTTAACTGAAACCAACACTCACTGCCTAGCAAAGTCATCAGTTAGTATATCTTGGGATCTTTCTGGAGTCTCCATATTAACTACTTACTTCCTAATAGTTGTTTCCTTTGTTGTAACCCAACAAGAATATGTCAGACTCATCAATACATACATACTGGTAAGCAAAATCATGTGATTATGGTTGTTTCAGTGATGAGTTATGAAATAACATACAATCTGGAAAAGTCTTCATACTAGGATGTATCTGAAAATGCCAAAGAAACTTACTGCCTGGTAATGGCAAAGGCAATTAATTATTAAGCTCCTATCATGTAAAAGAGCTTACCATCTTCCCAAACATGAAGCTTGAATATCAGTACAAAATTTTTCATAATATATTTTGACATACAAACTATTATAAGCAATATAAGCAATATATCTGCAATAAATGGTATACCACTTACGCCCTAAATATGCATAGAATACTCTGTAAGCACATTTTCATTATACTGCATGCTCTTACATGAACATTCACTTGTAATTGCTCTCCCATCTCAATCAAAGTGTCAAAGCCATTTTGTTTTCTCTATAACAAAAGCACTTTGAATACCATTGAATTTTATAATTAATGACTTACCTTGGCCCATGCAATTACCCCTTCAAGCTCCACAAGCCAACTTTTGACATCTTCATGTGACTTCAATCTAGCCAGCCTAGCACTACAATCTTGACTCAACCTTTTCATTAGGGATACTATTGTATTCCTGTCATCACTGGTGATATCATCATTGATGAGTTTACTCAGATGATAACACCAATTCCTATATGCATAGTAAATGTCCTTGCCAGACTCTGTGAAAAAATCAGTGTCCTCTAGAATCAGCCTTGCACTTGTATGGAAAAGAATATTGTGGTTTGTTGCTGGGTCAAGGAAATGGTTGCCAGATTGGCCTGGGTCATTGAGGAAGTCTTGCAGTGATGCATGGTATGGACGAATAGCACCATCATCTTCCTCAGGAACATAAAGGATGGATAGGCTTCCTTTGAGAGCAGATTGGATGTCATAGGTGGGCCATCTAAGAAACTGAGCAAGCTTCCCAAGCTCAAGCGGATAACGCAGGAACATGATGATGCCAAGTACAAATTGGAAGTCTGCATGCTTTTTAGCACTATCTAAGACTTGTGCAAAGAGGGCATCAAGTCCATTGTGTGACACCATTGCATCTTGAAGTCTCTTGATTGGGTTACAGTCCTGGGCACCAACAAATTTAACAAGTGTTGATGCATAAATGAATATGCCTTCTGATTTTTCCACCAGAGTCCAAAGGGCATCCTCCGATGGCCATGGATAAACCTGAATCCGTTCGTCCTCTCGGACTTTTGTCAGTTCTTTCTTGAGGTAGTTAAACACATCACGTTTAGTTCCCCAATCACGGAGAGGGATCTCCATGTTTTCGACATTACAGTGTGGACGGTTGAACATCGTGTTGATGTGACGCTCTGGTCGACTTGCAAAGAAGATGCGAAAGTGCATGCCTTTGATAGGTCCGACAAGAATGCGGACGAGATTTCCCAAAGGAAGATTCTCGGTGACATCTGAGTACTCGTCGAGACCGTCGATGACAACAACCATGCGAGGCATCTGCTCCAACACTGCCTTCAGCGGTTCGACGATGAGTGTGTTGGCCTGAAGTTCGAGACGCCGACCAAAAATGGAAGGATCGCGAAGGATAGCTTCTCGCACCAATGTACCAAGTAAGGGTAGCGAGCGAACGAGTTCGTATGCAAATGTTGGCATGAACTTTGTCAAATCATTCCGATTCCAATATTGATGTTCCCCACCCTCTTCACCCCTCTTCGTCGCATTATTATTAGTAAGGACACTGGTGATGTTGGAAGGATATGGTCGTCATACGACATACGTATAGTAGGTATGCACGAAGGCAAATGGATGGAGCTAGGTCAATACGCTAAGACACTAGGTTAATCATTCGCCTTCCTCTCGTCCAATACATGTATGTACCTCACTTACCGAGCAATATAAGCTGCTTTGGTGGTCCGAAGACAAACGATACGGTGTCATACCGCCTCCGCAACCACGTCTCCTACTTCATACAAGGTCCGCTCTCGCATCGGACCTCCAATCTGCAGCATCAAGCTTGCATGCTGGCGTGAGTAGGTGACTCGCGTCATCAGGTGTTCGTACGCAGGATGAGCGGTCGTTGTTGGCCATCGTCATAGTTATGAAGGATCGCGGGGTACAGTATCGTCCCACCATATGAAGACCACTGATACTGGGCTTCTTGACCTTGCAACGCTGACTTCTTTCGATGGATACCACTGCAACAACGCCGCTACTCGTCCAGTGGGTCGACCTTGGTAAGTCGTTGGTCTAGACCAGGGTCCGGGTTGGCGTGACGTCGAATGCCACACTTGCGTCACAATCACACCCGTCGTCCACGAGCCCCGAGTCGAAGATTCTTCAGGCTAGACGAAGCGCTTCAAGTCATTGAAATAATGACGTTTTCGTTCGATTTGATCTACAGAAACGCCCGCCTCTACAAAAATATCGCTCTCCGTCCTCGAAGAGCCTACAACAGGTTGGAAGGCTACCTCGACATCAGAGCAGGGTATTAAGGACTTATGATGCACTGTATGTCTTTTTATGCTTATTTTGGGCAAAATCACTCTCACAATTGCTGGTTTATCGCCATAGCATTCGCCATACTATGGAGGCTTAATGATGGAAGGCTGATGATCGTATATACTTCCTCCCTGGAGGGGGCTTTCGTATGGTCAATATTGGCTTTCTACCCAACATCCACGTCTCCGATTCACGGCACATCGATGTATCCCATCTTCTGAATACACGTCGTCGACTTGCTCGTGCTCGTACGACGGTCGTTCTGAGATGTGTAGTCCCAAACCACATTGCCATGTCGTATTTCGTAAGGTATGTCCACCTTTCAATGCATGAGGCTCATTGTGTATTGATGCGCATTCCGTGCCAGTTGTTCAAGCTCCACCAGTGCTCAGCCACCGTACTCAGACCGGTCCATTTTGCCCAACGACCTACCAAAAGCTGCCATTGTTCGGCTTCTAATGGCGTTGGCGGTGCTCAGCTGCGTGACGAGTATTTGACGACTGTGAGGCAGGGCCAAATATGACTATCGTGGGATCAGGGTAAGTATCCTCGTATCTTCTTCCTACGCATCATGTACCATATCTCAGCTTCCTTTTTTTTCATAGCTATGATATCTGCGGCACATAGCCTGTATATAACACTGAACCTGACGATGATTCAAAACACATCACCCACATCTGCGTTGCCGTCCCGTCCGATCCTGATTCCTCGCTCCCGCTACCGCTGCATGTCCCGACCCCTGTTTCCTTCCTTACATCATGAAGGTCTTTCCGGCAGTCCATCTACAATATGAGTGTAACTCAGAGACGTCTAAATTATCAATGCTTCTTGATCCTTTGAACGACAGGTTTCGAGGATTGTCTGTAACTCGACAAGGAACCGTCGATGGCGGAGGCTAGTCTACATACCTCCACTGTAAGTTTTATCTTTGGATGTAATCTGGACGTCAATTTGATCAAGCTATACGTGCAGTGTTTATCGTCTGCTTTCCGTGCATCCATTCATCCGATGACCAGCAAGCTCCACCCATCGCCATTCGCAGTAACGAAGCATATCCAATCTTCTGGCCCTCTAGACGCCTTCTTCCGTCGCTGTCGACCTTCAATCTCCTTATACGCCCACATACCTTCGTACAATTGCACATTGCCCAGGACCGACCCAGAACTACAGTATACATGCCTATTTTAGGGGAGAGGTATTTCATCCCTGGGAATTAAAGCCCGCACAGGTGCCTTCTAATTCAGAAAAGCTCCGCTTCTCGCTTCACCGCCTGACGCACGATAACTCCTGAAACCTCTCACGTGACATTCGTTCCTTTTCGCGTCGCTCAAAGGCACCTGTGCGGGCTTTAATTCCGAATTCCTTGTGGATTACGGGGTACCTAGTCATATGCAAGGCAAGTGATAGTCATTGAATTCTGACTTATGAATTCCCCATTGCTGGTGTATCCAATAAACATACGGCCACTCCACAATCGACTCCGCAGGATGACATACGCAAGCGGCGATCTTGACCAGAGGACTAGGCTTACGTTTACGTCGGTCATTCCTAGCATAGCAAGCATACAAGGTATGCGACATTTGCGAGGATCCCTTGAAATTATAAAAACCTTAAACAGTTTAATCGTTACGTACCACCAAGTATGGTCCTCAGGGGCTTCCCAGAAGGTCCTCATTTCCTCTCTATTTTTCACTTAAATATCTATAGCAGATGATGAATTATATTTAGGGAATATCGATAATAATATTGATGGCGAGACCATGGGATTCGGGTATAAGCGAGCAGAATTACTTCATGAATCATATTGAATGGTGGGGTCTTGACTGGTTAGATGTGACTTATATTGATAACGTCATTGAATATGAAGCCTTATTATGAGGCTTAGTATTATCATATGGTAGGTAGTAAGAGTGCTCGTAATGACTGAATGAACCGTGATTTATAACCATAGGTAGGGATGACCCGTTCAGCACCGGAATAGGGAAAAAGATCGGCGATCTCCTGGCTGAATTTGACTCTGAAGTTTCACCCGTTTTCATCGAGGGGATGATGGCCTAAACCCGGCTGAAACATAGTTTCAGATAGGGTTGAGGCTGCTTCAGCTGAAGAAATATTTGTATCATTACAGGAGCTTCTAGAAGCTCGACAGGACCTTGACAAACATCATGGTAGAGTGCCTTAGAATCAAAAACTCGAGGCTTCTATATCTTCTCATGATCTTTAGTTTCTCTCATCACCATGAACTGGGTACAATTCTTCTCCATCAGCTTCCTTGGCTCAGTTAGTAGAGTGTTGGTCTCATAATACAACATGAGGGTTGACTTGACTCAATCTTCAATCCAAAGGTAGGCAGTATGAGCCTGCCAGGGAGCACCACTTTTTGTTTCATCAACAAACAATAACCTTCCCTTTTTGACTCTGCAACCTCCTACCATCATTTCAACCCACCTCAACGCATTACATAAAGAGATGTCACCCTGGAAACTGTAATAATATTTATTGTATTCAAATAGGAAATAATCTACAACAATATATGTATATTGATAGAATGAGCTGGGATTCTACATAGGTACCAGAGTCACGGTGTGAATAAAATCAAAATCGAGAAATAAAAAAAACTCTATAAATGATGTTGCATCCAACGAATGCATGTCAGATGATCCTTTTACGGCGGTGTGGTGGCTCCGTAATGCCCACAACCTGACCCCCCTCCTCCGCCGGATGATTATCCCTCACCTCCAAATCCTTCCCATCCGGACTCATCCTCACAACCACGGTATCACCATTCCTGCATCAAAAGAACATAAACATTCTGCCCCATCCAATCAAGAAGAAAGGAACACACCTAATCGTCCCCGCCAACAACTTCTCTGCCAACGGATTCACCACCTTCGTCCTAATAGTCCTCGTGATCGCCCTCGCCCCATACACATCACTATACCCATGCTCCGCAAGCCACTGCCTCGCCTTATCATCGCAATCTAGCTGCATCCTCCTGTCCTTTATCCGCTCCATCACTTCATTCAGCCTCAGCGTCACGATATCCCTAATATTGCGCTTCGAGAGGCGGTTGAACACAATCTGCGTGTCTAGCCCATTGATGAGCTCAGGAGGGAAATGGTGCCCCGCGATATCCAGGACGGCGGTCTTGGCGGACGAGGTGACACTGCCATCTGAGGCAACGGAAGACGGCGAGGCGAGGATGTCCGAGCCCAGATTGGATGTCGCGCAGATGATTGTGTTCTATACGCATGATTAGACGAAGGTTATTGTGCATATGAATTCAGTATATGTACCTTGAAGTCGACTTTCCGCCCCTGACTATCCGTCAACGAGCCTTCGTCCAAGATTTGCAACAAGATCAATGCGACATCCTACGGAATCCAGGAACATAAGCAAACTGTTATCAAAGTGAATGAGGAACATGGAACCTACCTTATGCGCCTTCTCCAACTCATCCAGCAGCAAGACGGCTAAGCAATGGCATAATCAGCTAAAGCTATATCACATCAAGACCAACTGTACTCACCATATGGACGACGACGAACAGCCTCCGTCAGTTGACCTACAAGGAGCACAGTCAGCACAGATAGAAGGTGAATGTAATAGCGTCCCGTACCTCCATCACACCCAATATACCCAGGCGCCACACCAATCAACCTCGACACAGTATACTGATCATGATACTATCACACATCGTCAGACAACCTTGAACCACACGACAAGCATAAAAGATGATACACACCTCCAGCATTGATAGTAATAAGCTCCCCCTTCCCATCATTAAACAAGAACTGCGCAAGAGCTTTGCACAGCTCCGTTTGGCCCAACCCGTTGGCCCAAAGAAGAGAAAGCACGCGACCGGCCTATTCGGATTCGCCAACCCCGCGCGCGAGATACGCCCGGCATTCGACACAGCGTGCAACGCCGCATCTTGCCCAATGATGCGCTGGCGCAAGGCATGCTCCATCTACAATACAAGGCAAACAAAAGTCAACGAAGCTCGAAGAGAGATTGAACAAGATACGACATACGTGAGTCAACTTCTCCCGGGCGCCCTTCAACAATGACTGCACCGGAATACCCGTCGCCATTGCCACCACCCGCGCAATATCCCCGGACGTAGCCCTATCATGCAACATTGTCAGCCCCTCAATCCTATGTCCATCCCCCGCGCCGTCCTCGTGATACTCCCCCACACCACTCGTCGACGTCGGCAGGACGTCATCCTTCGGAAGCTTCGCCTCCAACTCCGGAATGACTGAATATCGAAGCCTAGAGGCAGTGTCGAACCGTCCTTCCCGCTGCGTAACGCCAAGATCATGCTTCGCTTTTTTGAGCTTGCGCTTCGCATCGTTGACTTCACTGAGACGCGTTCGTTCTGCGCAAATGACCGATATAAGCCCATGCAGAAAGAAAGAAGACCCAGTCCTCACTCACCAGCCTACCAAATCTCACCCAACTTCCTCGACTCTGCCTTTTGATCTCCCAACAACCTCTCCATCTCGCCCCTTCTCTCCACGCTCCACACCCGTCTCATTCTTCAAGCTCTCCAGCTCAATCTCCAGCGTCATTACCTCCCTATCCAGCTTCTCCAGATCATCCGGCTTCGACTCCTGCGCGAGACGGAGGGTTGAGGCCGCTTCGTCGATCAAGTTGATAGCCTTGTCGGGTAGGAACCGAACGGAGATCTACCGAGCGGCGTAGGCGGCAGCTGCGGAGAATTTTAGTATGAGGATAAGCTGTAGTACGGAAGATAGGAGTACACACCAGTAACCAACGCGCCGTCACTAATCTCCACTCCATGGTGCACCTCATCGACTCTTCAGCCCTCGCAGAAATGATATCGTACTTCTCCACCGTAGGTTTATCGATGATAATGCGTTGGAAACGCCATTCGAGCGCTGCGTCCTTCTCGATGTGCTTGCGGTATTCGTCGACTGTCAAAGAAGTGTTAGTCAATGACGGAGTTAGGGATAAGCTAGCATGGACATACGCGTCGTAGCACCAACCAGCTGTAACCCACAAGCTAGAGCAGGCTTGATCATGTTACCAGCATCAATGCTCCTTCAGCCTTGCCGAGGTTGAGGAGTGTATCTGGTAATGGTAACGGTAAGCACCACACCGATATGCTAACGAACATCGTAACTTACGCCTTTCGTCAATAAAACATATCACGTTGCCTTCTTCCTCTTCGATATCCTTCAACAGCGCCTTGAGCTTGCTTTCGAACTGCCCTCGAATGCCGGTACCAGCGAAGATGGAAGCAAGGTCCAAGGGCAACACATGCTTGTTGAATAGCGACTGGACGATGTGTGTTAGAGGTAAGCTCATGGAGAAATGGTACGTATTGCACCTCTGGAACCAACCCCACTACGATCCGCGACACCAAGCCTTCGAGAATGGCCGTCTTACCGACACCAGGTGGACCGATGAGGACAGGATTGGATTTTGTTCGACGGGAGAGGACTAAGCATTGTATGAGATGGATAGAGCAGTATAGCATTGACATGACGCACTTTGAATGGTACGACGGATCTCTGAAAGGCACCGTGAGCACTTGGCTGGGATGGACGGACCATGGCTACGCACCTTCGTCACCGCCGATCGTAGGATCCAGCTTGCCTTGCCTGCATAACATCAGATGATTGATACGAAGTACACCAATAAACAACGTACTTGGCAAGGTCGGTCAAGTCGATACTCTGTTCAACACGATCAGCATCGCGCGCACGGTACAGGCAGCAACAAACCCACAAACCCCTTCAACGCCTCGCCCTTCTTCGGCTCCTGATCAAGCTGCATCCCCTGAAATCCTCCACCAGGCAGCGGATGCGCGTATCCTCTCCGCTGGCCTCCTCCTACAACGCTGGCTTGCCACGTTGGCAGCAAGAACGACGGCCTTAGCGCGAGACTTGCTGGCTCAGAAACGAGGAAGTGTCACGGACGGAACGGGTACCGAGGTGATAGGGAACTATAAACACGTCTTGTCAACATGATGGACGACGAGGACGGTCCTAGTCTCAACGAACGCCATCGGTTTATGACGCCACGGATGTCACGTGACGATGACGCGTCCACCTTCCCGCATTTTCCTTTCGTTTCCCCATACTTTCCCCGCAACCTCGTCATAATTCCTAGATTCACTACTCCTCCCTCCCCACTACATTCTTTGCTTATTGTCTGAAATCTTCGATCATCACGGATACTTCTGACTCGCATTGACAAGTTGAAGCTGAAGTTCGGAATCAAACACATTGATGAATCAAATCCGCTACGTTCAACGACCTTTCCAGGACATATCTATTCATGATAGTTTGTAATAAGGCTAGATGCTCAAGGAGAACGTATTCTGTGCAATTCTGAACCCGAATCTTGAAGAACTTTCTGAGGCACTACCAAGTGATCTGACGTCCTTCCACTATGCAACTTGATGTCGATTTGAATGCTGAGGAACGTAGAGGGTTCTTTAACAGTAAGTAATTTTTCCACAGTTTGCACGAACGCCGACTTAAGAGCTGATAGACAGAAACTAGATAAACCTCATGGACCCTCTGTCTTCGTCAAGAACGTAGTGTCCACGATAACCCTGACACTTACGTGTTGCAGACTCCATTTAGGATTAACATGACATCTATTCCATAGAAGTTACTATCATGATAGGCCCACACGTACGTCACCTTTTGATATCGATTCAAATTAGAATATTCGCCACCCAATGTTCATGTCCTCGACATCCTGCATATCGATATCGAGTTATAAAACACATACGCTTACGAAATAATACCAATACATAACGAGTATGTAAAAATAAATCTCAAGCACGTTGAACTTGGATATATCTAACTCATAATTATGAGATATAATACGGTAAAGTGTTTCGACCCGCTTCCTTCGGATTTCCTCCGTCTAACTCTCATGCTTGGTGTGCTCTCTGGATCAAACCTCGGAAGGCATCTCACTATATATGTCAATGATACTCTCCTTTATAGGATATCAGCTATTGAGAAACAGACAAGTAGGGTCTTTTGCTTACCATCGTGTCGCTGATGCGTATATTGCTTGAAGATTCAGACGCGGGTGCCAACGGTGACGAAGCTGAATGGCACTCTTCATTGGAAGGACCAGCATTTTCCTTCGTGGATTCTGACCTCTCTTCTTTGAAACGACTAACCTTCTTCGCTTTAGACTTTGAATTTGGCCCTCTTTATATCCTTATACATGTCAATAGCAATGTACAATCAACGGAGAAACAAACGTACTGCAAGCACTCGGCCAGTGGATCTCTCCCGTCGCAGTTTTCTGATCGCGTGACGCCTTTCAGGTACGTGTGTATCCATTTCAACTATCTCTTCCTCAGATGCAGATCCCAA